GCATCTCTTGCAGCAATGCCAAACAAAACAAAGGAAAACCCTTCCTTCATTTCCCTGGCATATATTAAAACCATGCAAAATTTAAAAAAAAGTATTGTGATAGTAAAATGAAAGTAGGTTCTGGGCTCAGGGACAGAGTTTTCCCCCACATGAATGTCATTTGAAAGTCGTGCAAGACCCGAGGCAGAGGTTTGTTGCATGGAGCCATCCCAGACCTGGGTTTACATCTATCGCTGGCTCTCATCCACTGAACACCCCCCGCCCCCACTTCCAATCAATGCGACAAGGAAAGACCTGCCCACAGATTTCCCTGATGTCCCTGGGGGCATCGCTGCCCTGCTGAAAACTTCTGTCCTGAGGAGCCACAAGCAGGCCCTAAGCTGGGAGCAGCGAGCTCCTGTTTGCAGCTTAGGAAGCTCCCCCTGGTGCGGGCGGGGGCTGGAGAGCTCCCATGCAGGCTGAGTGTAAGGCTGGGCAGAGCTTCTAGGGGCTCAACTAGGGCATGACCATGGGGAGAGAGAAGAGCAGGGGCTTAAGATGTAGGGACTGTAGGGTGTAGTAGCTGCTTGACTGGCAGGTGTCTTTGCCGTTCCCATCTCTGAGGGTGGGACACACACACACACACACACACACACACACACTGAGGGTGGGACACACACACACACACACCATTCATTCCTCCCCCCCTAGCTTTTCCATCTTGGCAGACTTGCTTCCCTCAACTTGACAGACGTCTGCTGTCCAGCCACTGGTCCCCCTCTATGCCTCACTCTTCTGATCACTGTCACATGTCTTTAATAAAGCACAGTGTTCCTTCTCTCCCCTCTACTCCTTCACTGCCTGAGTCTCCTCACTTGTCCTCTGGCTCTGCACCCACCCCTGCACAGAAACTGCTCCATCCTGGGTCACCCGCGGCCGCCGCCGCACCACACCTGTGGCTTCTCAAACTCTGTGTGCCTCCGACTTCGCTGGAGGGCCAGGGAAACTGCCCCTCGCTGCCCCCCCCCCCCGCAGCTTTGTGATTTAGTGGCCTCAGCCAGTCCCCAGGGGATGCTGATGCCCCAGATGGCGCTCTGAGAACTGCGGATGGTCAGCGGCTGGAGCGCGCTCCAGGCCCCTTGCAGTCCGGCGGAGGCGTACCTTTCTGACTTCACCTGCAGGACTGACCATTTGCTCTCCCCGAATGTGGTGCACAGAGCAGTTCCCACCTTTGCTGCCCTGTCCGCTCTCTCGTGGGTGTCCTCTTGCTCCCCTCCTGTGCCTGGGCAACACCTACTCACTTGGTTTTCAAGGGCTAAGCTCCAACGTCACACACTTTGTGAAATGTGCAGTCCCTCCCGTCGCAGTCAGGATTAAACGCCTCTCCTTTATCTTCCCATACCTCCAAAAGATCAATCGCCTCTTTATTCAATCATCCATTTCTTAATTTGTTTAGCAAATGGTTGGGTCACAGTCCCTGCCCTTCAGATGCTTATAATTTCGTAGGAAAGAAAAGGCCTTTAAAAAATGAACCTCAGCGTGAGGCAGCCCGTAAGAGCTCTCGCAGGGTGTAAGAGAATCGTTACTGATGGAAGAAAGGCGTTCTGGGGGGGGGTGCGCACAAAGCAGGGTCTGCAGGATGGGGGAGTTGGCCGGTGAAGCCACAGCTCCCCCCTGCTGCTGAGTCCCTCCAGATGCCTCTCACCACCTGCTATACGCTGTCTTTGCTGTAACACAGCAGCCTCTCCCAGAATGCCAAAGCCGTGATCCCACCCGATAAGAGGCCTAGGAAGGGAACTCTCCAGATGCAGAAAGGGCCTGTCCCTCAAACCGGGCACAGCCTGGCTCCAGGAGCCTGAGGCGCCCCCTGGAGGCAGCACGAGCGTGAGCCTGAGCCTGAGCCTGTGCTAGCAGGTGGGGCCTTGCCCCGCAGCCTCTCTTCCTGCCCTTTCCTCCCGATGACTCACTGTTGGGCATTAAACCAGCCTCTGCCCCTGGCTTTCCTATGACCTGTGTGCGGTTGCCCTCCCTAAAACCATTCCTTCACAGGGGCCCCGTCCAGGGATTCTCAGGCTCTAAGGTGCTCAGGAATCACCCAGGGATCTTGTTGTTAGAGGCAGATTCTGAGTCGGTAGGGGGTGGGTCCGGGAGTCTGCCTTTCTAACAGGTTCCCAGGTGACGCCAGGCCTGGGCCAGGGGCTGCACATTTAGTAGCAAGTTGGTCACTTAGTTTGACAGTTCTGGATCTCATGGTGTGCTTTGCACGTGGCACCGAACCCAGAGACCAAAATGAAATGGAAATAGTAAAAATGTATTACACGTTTATGTTATACCAGGCTCTGTGCTAAACTCTTTCTATAGACTGTTGCGTTTAGCCGACACAACACTGCTATGAGGTGTTGTCATCATGTAGATGAAAATTCCTCCAGTCCTAAAGTGGGCTTTGTCCCGTTTGTCGGCGTC